AAAAAAAAAAAAAAAAAAAGAAGAACAATTTTACAATTGAAAATGGTTATAGAACTTCACTCAGGAACAGTCTGAAAAAAAGCTCTTGGGATTGAACCAAAATGCAGCTAATCAGCTCTGCTCTCACTAACAGTAAACATTCACATGTTCAAGAATTTCCAATACACCTGGGGAATGCATCAATAGACAAGATGGCTTTTACAGGACTTAGAAAAAAAAGGAACTTTGGCCTCAAAATCATCTAAAAGGTAAAAAATAATCCACATACCTTTAAAGCACATTTCTGCCCTGTCACCTTGTTAAAACACTCCATTACTTTGCCATTAATGCCCAAGCCTAGCACCCGTTTGGAGAGTTTGTAGTCATCCGTAACTGCATGTTTTTTTATTTCTAGCCTGACATGGGCAGCTCCCCCAGGCATGGGCTTCACACCGCTTTTGCTGTCCACATAACCCTCTGGTTGGGGCTCCTGCTTGCCCTCACTTTGTTCCATGTCAGGGAGAACGTGGAGATAATGGAAGTAGTCACCAGATCCCCAGTTTATCTTCAATAAGGTCCTCCCTGTTCAGCAGATCAAGGCAAGTGCAAAGAGTCCATTTGGAAATTCACTCAAAACTGCCCTGAATAAAAATGTAAATGAATCTTAGAAACATACTTGGGGCAATCAAACTCTACTGTCACAGGCATCCCCCTCCCCCCCTTCTCATGTGTGGCAAGACCAGGCTTCAGAAAGACAAAAAAGTGAGTCCTACCTACTAAAGTATGTGAACAATCTGCCTTGAATCTGTACACAAGTGATAGTCTGTTATTATTACCCAGTGTCTGTGCTGTAGTACTGCCTGGAAGACCATGTATGGGCCATGACCCCTAGGTGTTGAGAACTATACAAACACAGAAAATAATAGTCCTTCCTTCAAAGTGCTTGCAGTCACTATTATGAAACACTGCTCTGAATATCAGGCTTGCAGTGGCTCCAAAGCCTGAAGTTGCTCAATGAAGTCTAGGCCTTAACAAGACCTGGACTGAAAGAAGTACCTGGTGCACAGACCCAGCACTGGGGCCAGGGACAGAAGGAGGACCTAACCCCAGGGAAGAGGTTACCTAGCCTGCCTGATGCACGGGCTGGAGGAAGAGTGGCTCCACTGATAAGAGGCTACCTGCCCATCCAGGGCACAGCAGAAAGTCCCCTGCTTTGGTGCCAGGTGCTGTGCTGAGGGACAACCTGCTGGGACAAGGCCCCAGCTGATGGGTCACCCACCCATGGCAGGGCAGCACGCCGCACAGAGGTGACCCCCAGGGGAGAAGCACCCTGATATTTAATCACCCACCTTAGGGGCCTGCCTGGGCACTTCAGCAGCGGGCGGGAGAAGCTGAAAGAAACCCCTGGGTGCAATTCCCTGCCGGCCCGGTGCAGAGGGGAGGGGAAGGGCTGATCCTGGTGCAGGGGCCCGCAGCTGGGGGAGACGCCCGCTGCTGCACAGCGACCAGACGGCAGCTCGGCCCGCGGCGAGGCGGCTGCGGCCCGTCCAGCGCCCCGCCGGAG